AAATCTAATGATAAAAAAGGTTATCCTTGTCATTTTTTTTAAAATACTGTTGCATTTTTCTTGTACTATTATATCTTCTCATGGACATCTATTTTTGTCACTTTGATTTATTACATAACAATTTTTTTTTAATAATGCTTTTGCATTTTCTTGTACTATTAACCTTCTCATTGTCACTTTAATTTATTACATAACCATCTACCTCTACCAAATTTAGTAATAACTAATTTTTCTGGGGATGCCGGACTCGAACCAGAGTCTTTGCACTCTTAATCAGTTATGGCTATCATACCACGCCAATAAGTAAACACCCACTCCGAGGCAAGAAATCATTATAAGTGCCTTGGTCAATACAAATTTTCTCCAAGGAAAGTACTTCGCTCTAATTGGTATACCTGACGGTAGAAGGGTTCAGTTAACGGTACTCCCCTCCGAATATGTACGTTTTCCATTTAAATATCAGAGAGGCGTGGACCGGATTAGTAGAGGACTTAGAAATACATATGTTTATGTTGAGGGCATAACGATGTTACTAGGGACAGCTGAAGGGTTGTCGACAGAATTACACGATGGGTGTGGGTAAAAACCCGGCGAGACATTCAATCAAGTTCAATTTGTATTTAAAAAATATTTTTATTTTGCATATTACAGTTGAATATACATAAGCCAAACAGTCGGTATCTAAAATAAAAAGTTAGTTGAGCGCTTTAAAAAAAAATGTTAAATCTAATTCTATCATTACTACATTATCAGTCTTATAATATCTGCGAAAGAACCATCCAAACGATTATGAAGACTATTTTTTTACAGCCAAGTAATTCCAGAGATAAGGAGCGGGCTCAGGTATTTGATAAATATAAGCATAACAGGATTCAACTGCTTTGGATAAAAGCCCCTTTTATATAATTAAGTTTAAGGAAGAAGTAAAGCTAGTAATGACTTTGACCGATCGAGCAAACATATTAGAAAATTATAAACAATGCTACATACGGTTATAAAATAACTAAGAAAAGAATTGGAACTAAGGCAGCAAAGTGGTTAGAGCGCAAAAATGTAGTCGATTCGATATATATTGATTACCCAGAGAGCAGAAGCCAAGGCGAAAATTGAAAAGATTTGGGTAGGTAACAAAATTACAAATAATAAATTATATGAGGCGTAATTGCAGGAAAAAGTCTATTTATACATAGAAAATAGGTTAAAAAAATTAAGATTTTTTAATAGATAATAGGCAGGCCTCGAGGTGAGTGGAAACTAAGATGCTTCCGAGCAAATTGCTTAATAGGATTAATGAGAACGAGAGGAAAGATAAGAAAAGATTATTTAATATTCAAGGGAGGAACTAGTTTGGTAGAGTGTCTGCTACTAAGAATGGACGAAATATATTTCAGAAGAGCATCAACCTTAGAACTTTTTATAGTACTTATTAAAGAGGCGATTCTGCAATAGAAAGCCCAAAAAATTCGAACGCACTAGCTGCATGACGACTGTTAGCTGGTAAAGAGAGGATTAGTGTCCTACTAAAATTCTCTTAATTACAGTTTTTACTACATTTAAGGATGCTTAAAGTGATAAATATAAGGGGGATGCAAGAAGTGTCCTTGCAACCATTAAAAAAAAGGCATAAAAATTCAGACCTTATTACAAGGAAAAGTTCAGTAAGAAAGGTAATATGGATGAGCTATAAGTGGGTTATGCGGTTCTCAAGAAATTGTTGGAAAAGGCCAACCAAAATGCCAAAAAAAAAAAAAGAGGAAAGGGTGCATTTTTATGTACAAACCCGATAGTTTCATATATTAGATTGTGTGTATATGTATCAACAAGACTACATCAGTTAAAAACTTGCTCTTCTGGGGTTAGCAAAGCTAACTTAATATACTTTACCTGCGCTTTTCTTTTTCTGTGTCAAGTTAGAGACGTTGTAGTTAGCCTGTAGAAACTACGCGATTGAGAGTTGAAAAATAACACAAGCAAGCATTTAGAAGCGAATTATACCTAAACACCACTAAAGGTTTCTTATTTATACCACAACAACAAGAAATTGCCTTAACTATAACATGGAATTTACCATAAAAAATAATATCCTATATAAGACCTGCCATATCACAAGCAGCTGTAAGCAAGCAAACAGTCAACGACCGGGGTAACTTCCTATCCCGAGCTGGCTGAGAACTCTTCACGATTACTGATGTATGTAGAAACCCCCATTCAACTAGTCAAAACTGTGTGTATTTCTTTCAAGACAAGCATATACTTTTAACCTTAAAAGCCATACCAGAGTTAAAATTGTCTAGATAAAAAGATAATTTTATTATATGTACCTAAACTCAAAGCAAAAAGTTGTATACTCCATAAAGCGTTGATTTGTCTACTCTTAAAGGTTTCAATGGTTGTTTTATAAATAATTTTTAGCAATGACTACACAAATTCGGTTAAGTTCAAAGTAAAGTTGAGGTGTACTTTTTCAATTTAAAACCTTATAACGATTAAAGAGAGATACGTCAACGACTGGATAATAGTAGGGGATATCATATATCTTAGAAATCCTACGGAACAGTTACAACCTCAAAAATGACTGCGAAAACGAATGATATTCGTTACTAAAGTACGACAATTGGAAAAGGAAGCGATTATAAACAAAAAAAATACAGTTAAACAGACGGCTCAAATAATATAAATACTACCTAGAGAGACACTTCCTCTCCTTACAAGTGTAAAGTTACTGCCTTCTACAAAGAAAAATGAATTCAAATTAGAATACTATACACTATTTGGCTTTCTCGGAAACATAGAGAATTGTGCAGGGATTTGTATCGCGTATGCTACCTCAATACTTGTAAACTCGACTATCAATAACGAAACAGTTTTAAAGATAACAAGAAATGGGGTGGGGCACTCTAAAAACGATATATATATAATCAAGCATTTAACGTAGCGAAAGAGAAGAACGAGGGATACTAATAATCCGTTGTCTCCTCTGAGCGGTAATAACGACTATTTCGCTTTACCATGGGACACATACCGATGTAAAAAAATCTTTATACTGGAAGTCTGACATAGATAAAAGTGAAATACACAAGTCCTCCGAAGCTGAATACAAGTCATTGAGCAAGGTAATGATATACACTTAAATAAAGAAAAACCTTAGTAAATGTTTGCCTAACAGAAAAATTAAATTAATATACTACACAGACAACGAAGCAGCGAGAGTCTTCTAGAAGGGCGATCATACCGCTATGTTTCATAGGGAAATACCGGATACAACTATAAAAATAAACGTCACCTTAAAAAATAACTTGGAAGATATTTTTACAAAAAAACCTTTACGATAAAACACAAAAATCTACTTAGAAAAATATATTAAGAAAACTACTATAACAAGGATTTATTACTCAAAAATATAATACAAAGTACGAGAATAGCAAGGACATAAACTCATAGCATGTAACCTAAAACTCAAACCTAAAAACAATTACAAACAAAAACTTCCTAACTAAAAAAGTTGATCCGAAAATAAATTAACCATAAATTAGAATTGATTGAAAACAGCACAATAGTCGAGTAAAACAATTTCCAGAAAAATCGATTGAGTAAATAAAGTAATACCTACCATAATTCCATACAAATTAAACGAAATAATTTTTGTAATATAGTATGTAAAAATTTTTCCATATATATTATATTTTATTTTACATTATTAAGTATTATACATACTTAAAAATTTTGTAAACTATAAATTCTAATACGCTATATATATCCATATTTAATTTATATCTTTTGTTACGTATTAATTTTGGTACAGTTCGTCTAGTCTATGTCCCTTGAAGGCTGCTAGATGCTTGCTGTCAACAATAAAAGCTGGAGGTTAACGCCACAAAACTTTAAGTCATGAGTAGTTGCACAGTTTGCAGGCAGAAATGAAAGTTAAATGAAACAAGCATGCGGGAGCGATGATCCAAGCAAGTTTATTCGATCCCAAACCAAAAGGTTGTTGATGATGCACCAGATTGGTAAAACATTCTCAATATGGAGGCTGCCAGACGGACCTGCGCTTATAACAAGTGAAATTCTCTAAAACTTTTAATACCCTATGCTGACCGAAATGCAGTAGCTAACACGGTATACCCAGGGATAAAGGCAACACTAGTATAGAGGGAGAACGGCCAGTCGTACTGGGGTTAAGGAGCCTAATTGTTCATGTCAGGCTGACTAGGGGTCTATTAGCACTAAAGCAGCCGCCGATCGAAGCTACTACTCGTAAGCACTTCGGCAAAGAGAAAAATCCTAGTCTCAACGCGGCCAAGTGCATCTTCTCTTTTAAATAGGTAGATGAAATCCCTGGGCAAATATTAATAAGGGACATGGTCCCGGAAGAATGACTTAAAGGGCCAAACTGAAACAACGAATAGCACCATCCGAACAGTGCAACAGAACAGGGGTACCCTAGAGGGGTGTAGGGGTGAGTGAAGGCGAGATGACTAGTATATTAACGCAATGGGCCGTCTTATGACCTAATGCACTCTCAACTTACCGAAACCCTAGTAAGCAATACGTATAAGAGCGAAAATATACATTCTACCACTATGTTATAGTCTTAATCTGCGAAACTTGTCCTAGATAAAGTCGCTTCTTAACCACTTCGCCCTCCAAAGTTGCGGTTTCAATTTAATAAATACAACACAAAACAGTTTTTAACTTAAAGTGTATTAAATAATAACCCACGAGCTTGCTACTTAAGGCTCAAACCAAAAATGAAGAACACAAGCAAATTTTATCTGGTTTACATAAATTTTTGCGTATCGAGATAAGGCAGTAGCAACGTTAAAAAGTATATTTTAAACACTTTATTTAAAAAACAAGCTGGTAAAAAGAGATAACATCATAGGACATAGTGCCTACTGTTTTTATTTTAAATTTCCTTAGACAAAATAAAAAGTGAAAAATTAAGTGCAAATGCATATTGAATATAATTTCATAAAAAGCAATAAAAGAAATATAACTTGGGGTACTTTCCAGCCACTTTTATAAATAATTCTCAAAGTTTTGATAAGTCTCCCCGCAACGAGTATCTAGTCTTAGGAGCGGAATAAGGCATGCCACTTGAACTTAAGCGCCGGTCGTCCAAACGCTCGAGTTTTCGAACATAATGCAACGTTAAAAATTAAAGGTTATAAGGAAACCATGGCGGTGCAACAACCTCAACTGGGCTGGAAGAAGAATCGGAATCTTTCTTGTACAAAACGACCTAAAACAGTTTGAACTTCATAATATCCATTCTTATATAAAAATAGACCTTTGAGTTGTCTTCATCCCTAATAGAGGCGAAGTTGGGCTCGTAATCTTTTCTTTTAAGATAAACAAAGTTATTTGGTTAAGAAACTATAAAGGAAAGCGCCAAAAAGAGGAAATTTAACTTACAAAGGTTTTAAAGGGGGAAGAAAAGCAGACTTTGTGTGCTCATAGCGATTTTGAGCTCGAAAAAACTGTGAACACTTCTCACAAACTACAGCCCCTCTATAATTCGGCGAAACTTTAGCCAAACTAGATGAATTAGGGTAATACCTACCAAAAATTTTAGTGTTAAATGAATAAATAATATAAAAAATGGACAATTTATTTAAAAGTTTTCAGAAAGAATCGCGGTCTACACAAAACAAACAGTTAAAATATCCAGGTGGATACCAGAGAGAGCTTTTCGTTTGTGTGCTCAAACAAATTAAACAAATGCCGTCATGATTGTGATCCCCAAAATATTTTTTAACATTAGAACGGTACCACCTTTTGAAAGGGGAAGAAAGCGTAGAAAAATTATATACCCTATAGTGTGCTTGATAAACAAAACCAAATCTAAAAATAAAAGTAAAAATATATATAAAAATTACAAGTTGCCTGGTTCGCAAACCCTTTTTTCGTTCGACATAACATGCTTAGAGGTTTCCTTCCCTAAAAAACTAAGTAAAATATCCCTACGCTTTGTTTTTTTCCACATATAGTAATAAGCAACAATTTCTCCCAATTTTCTGTGTGATAGCTGCACGAAAGAAGATTAATAAAATATTTTCATAAATTATGTATAGAGTGATAAATATATTATTAGCGCAATATTCAAAAATAGCATATACTTGAGTATTATGAATTGCTATAAAATCTTTATAAAAATATTTCATTCCAGATTCAAATTTAAAAATATCTTCATCAGTCCAAAATATGACTAATCAAGTAATAAATAATAGGTAAATAATTACATAAGCATAACATTATAAAAGCTGTCACTTTCTTGGAGCATAAGCTGGGATAGGCCTAAACTCATACCTAAAGAGAGTCAAAATATAAGACAACGTAAATATACACTGGCTTTTAATACTGAGCTCCAGCGACCACCCTCAGGTCCGTTGGTATCTAATAATTACAGTGGGGGGGGGAGGTGTCTAAAAGATTAAAAACGTATAGCCATCATATCGGGACTTAGAATAGCCGGGGTGGCTTAGCGTAATAGGATTTTAACGTGCATACCAGGTTTCCATCGGCGCAACCCTCTTTTTCGGTCTTTGGCGGTCGTGACAAAACCTCGCCCCTAAAGATTCAATGATGTGTTAAGCATCGAGTTATTTAAAAGTTACGACAATGCACTTTACACCAAACGGCACCACACTCCCGTTAAGAAAACGTACATAGTTTGAATACCTCCGTTTTGCTTTCTTTTCTTGTCTTAAATCTTTAATTATTATACTATTTTATTACGTCACCATATTTTTTAATCTTTATCTTCCCTTCTTAATTTCATTTACCCTAAAACGATATCAAAATTGCATAAAAACCTTTCGTTAAAGCGTACTTTTTTAATTTTATAAATGGCTACGTGACTAACTAAGTATTCTTAAAAGAATGATGTTTAATAAAAACTTAAACTAGGATTCATTTAATTTTTAAGGAAAAACTTAGTCAATACAAAACAAAATAATCTTTCTGCTTGCTGTTATTACTCTGCCCCTCGGTTTTAAATCCTTTTTTTAGGCTGCCTTTAGTCATGCTTAGATAGGAGATGAGCGATTTTTATGGTTTACAGTTGGCGGACGCGTTAAACTTAAGCTTATGACAATTATAATTTAGCAAAATGTAGTATTAAGTATAGCCAACATAAAAAAACAAAGAAACGAAGTCCATTAAACAAAGTCGCATTTTTATATTAACTTTTAACTGAAAAGTATAGATGCTGATGCCAAAAGCTCAACTTGGCATGTGGCGTGAGGTGAAATCGTGTGGGTAAATGTGACACAGAGGAAGCCGGGGCAGGCGCTTTAATAATGGATTAACGTTAAACAGGAAAACACGTTTGTTTATTTTTTATAAAAGTGAATGTGATAACTTAACTGAAAAATTAATATAATAAATATGTATTTTAATATCGAAATAGGGCTGTTTTTTATTAATTATACAATAAACTACCTTGCTGATGAGAATTGGTCTACATGTAAAACAAAGTACCAAGGGAAGGCACCTTTGAGTTTATATACTTAGCGTGGAGTCGCTAAGGGAAAGTACGAACTGAAAATTGAGCCAATGATAAGGCTTTTAAAAACGTACTCTGTGTCGGGCACTATAGATCAACCAGAGGGCTAAAACATAAGGTTTATACAGATTTACCTGCAAGCCCTCATCAGGCTTTTAAGGAAAGTAACCTCTAATGAGGTATTATGGAGAGGAGGCACATGCCTATAATAGAAGGTTTCACAAACTCAGCCTACGTGAGGTAGGCGGAGAGCATAAAAATTTTTTCAGAATTCAACTGCAAAGCGGTGTAGTAAATTTAAAGGAGCGTGGTTTATTGAGACCAACAGTTCTTTGACAAGGTCGCTTAACCGTGCGGTGGTTTAAAGTATAAATGCTTTGGTAGCTTAAAGGAATCCTATAAGTCAAAGGACTATTGATATACTTGACTCTCCTTCTTTGTTCGGCAAATAGAAAAGAAATAAATTTAAAGATAAAATTTTATTGGTACCAGAAATTGTTAAGTTTTGATAGTTGCGAATCTCCTTTAGTAATAGCTACCAGAAGTTATAAATTGGCTAAGAGTTTACGTTTCAAGAAGATATAAATTAGAGGTGATTTGGAGGCCTTTAGTTTAACTACTTATCTTTTTGAGAATATTAAAAATGGAGTTCAAAAGAAAAAATATAGTAAAAACAGTACCGGTCCTCAATCGAGTCAACAGACTGAATTTTTGAGCTCTCGAAAAAGTGTAGTTGTTTACATTAACTTTTTGCCAAAGTTATAATTTTCATTTGGACTTGACCTCGAAGAAAAAGCGCTTTAGCCCTCTTAAGTTTACTTGGTCCGGCTGGCAATGGTGCTGGCCGGAGACTTTAGAAGGCCTTGGAATCTATACCTGGAACCCCCCACTCCACGGGAGGCGGATGTCTGGTGGTCACCACACTTGGTCCAATAACGGAAGTCCGGACTCAATATTATCCACTTTTTCTGTCTTTCAAGACGGTTATAATAGCGCTAGTTCCACCTGGTGAGCATTCGTGCCCGTTTAGACCACATTCAGTAGTTTATTAGGCCCTCTTATAATTAGGGACTGGCTATAGTATGTCAGATAGTAATAGTAAAAAATGGCTGCAGTGCTTAGGTTGCCTTTCGAATAGGGCATTACATTGTTTCGGAAGACGGCAAAGAGCGACCTTAGCTAAAAATTTTGATGAGGAGCATCGTTTTAGAACACATATTTACCGCGGGATAATTTTTTTCTCGCTAACCCTTTTTCGACATCAAGGAAGACGGTTATAGCTCCCTTCTTAACAGTGGAAGCGAGGATTGTTTACTCTGTCAAGAGGAGGAGTTGTAGGGTTATCAAATGCTAATGTTGGGTCCAAATTAGAGATCCAGCAAGATAGCGAGGACGTTGGGAAGGTTTTATTCAGTGCAGTACATCGGCTTCGGTCACTATGCCAACCAGTCAACAGGAGTTGATGGGCAGCACAGATGATCCCTCGCACCAATACCGTTTTCTTCAGTATATTCTTGAAGATGGATGCCACCGAAGTCAGGGCATTGGTGCTTGGGTGATAAAGCTTTGAAAATCGCTTAGGTCTCGTCTGTGATGACTATCTCGAGCGTGGACCGCATGTGCACTACAGTTTATAACACCTCCTTCACGCAAGGAAGTACCGGTAGAAGATTCAGCCGACGTCGCAGCCTCGACACGTATTTTAATCAAGTCTTTCACCGCCTATTTTAATGATCCTAAAGCTTCTTCCTAAAGTTAGTGTAGTTAGTCTGGTGCAACTTAATCTTTCTGCGCGTAGTGTCGTAATTACTTAAATAAAGTGTCAACACTGGCAGATAAGCGCCTCCAGCTCATCGGCAGACGGACGGGGTGGTACTCAACTTCGCGTGTGGTTGTGGCAATGATATTATAATTAGTAGTGCTAACCAGTAAAGTAATTGTTAATAATAGATTTAAATAAAGAAACTAAGTATTTTTTACTATTTTCCACCCAATCGATAATTAATAGCGTGCGTCACCGTGGTCAGAAGTCCGACGTGCAGTCTTTACTCTATGGGTTAGATATGATCGGTTTATAACGTGATAAAGTAAACTTTCGGTTAAATGGGTCAGAATATCATTTATTAAGGTTTCAAATCTTAACTCACCCCCTTACCTTACTAAATGATTTTCATTTTTAGTTTCATTTCATAAATACGATTCATTCTATAATTTTTGACATACTTCTAATTTTAGTGATTAATTACTCTTGGCTGGCTTAAACCTAAACAGGTGGACTCAATGTTTAATTTCTTATTACGACAAAAAGTGGGCGCCCAGTACAAGGGAGTAGAAAATTATTTATTTCGATCCCTAACAAATTAATAACGCGCAGTTCAAATGGGTCTTTATATTTCTCTGACTTGGTCGTTCTAGTTTCCAAATTTAGAGTGCTTGCAACTGAAAGCTAGGGAAGGGTGAGCGCTGGAGGGCCTACAAGCTGTGATCAAATAGGGAGGAACCAACTACCTGTAGAGTTGTTAAAGGTATCGTTGACTACTCATTTAATTAAAAGTGCAACTTTTCCGTCGCTGGTGTAAACCGGCCTTTTCAAATTTCTCATTAATGACGCACATATTAATTCTTTCACGCTGCAACAACTCCTAAAGTTCGTTTATTGTTCTTAACTCCTTCCCCATTCCAGGATATTAGTCTGATGCGGTGACCTGCCTAATTTCTCAAACCTATAACAAACGATAATTAAGCTCTTCACAGTCTTGAGAGTAATTTACAACTTTGTTTTAAAGTTGCTAACAGTTGCCATAATGTCTTTAATTGCTGTTGTTCTTATAGCTGTCGTAATTAAGCGTTGCGACTAAGATTAGAAGATCAGAAGTTTCTTTTTGAGGCCTTACTCAGCACGGATGACAAGAGTTATTTGGAGTAAACGTAGGGTGCAGATTAAGAGTTGTGGCTGTGCTGACTTAATACAGACTTTTGCCGGTAAAAGTTGCAGTCGCTATTCGCACAACCAGTGCTGTCTTGTGCGATTGATTACTCCGGTCAAATAGTCCTCCATAGTTTGGCGCATCGGCGTACTGCAGAGAGAAAACTTAAACATGTCCTAAGCCCAGGCAATAATAGCTCTGCTAGACGAGGGTACAGTTCCGTAGAATCTTCGGCATATTAGAAATGTAAAGAAATAACTTTTTTTGGGTTTTATGAACTATTAGATACATTATTATACACGCGCCCGTTATTTTTTTTTGTTTCTGTTTTCGACTGCTGGACGGTTCACTGTAGGAATTTAAAACATTTGGATATCTTACTCAAGAATGTGGTAAATCTGATGACATTGCCTTATGACAACTTAGAAAGGAGGCGTTTGTGCTATGATTATCATCTAAACCTTCATCTTTTGAAAGTAAGTTGCTTTTGGTCAAAAAAAAATTTCCTTATAATATGTAAATGATTGTATTGCAGTGTTCAACACATTAATTATATATTATCGTAATTTTTTAACATGGTTCGCATTACAACATCCGTTATAAGTAGAAACAATACAGTTTTTTAAAACCTTTGCTACGACTAAAAATAACTGCCTTTATCATTACAAAAATGGGGATATACAAACACTTACTGAGAGACTTAAACTCTCATAAATTAATTCTAAAATTTATGCTTTAAACTATTACTTACTACTGACGCATCCTTATCCTTCAAGGATTAGGGTCTGTTGTATGACTTCAAAAATGGTATTACGACCACAGTTGATTAGGTTAAAAGCCAATTTTAAAAATTTTATTTCATATAAATGCGAATTAAAACGTTAATACCAATTTTATTTTAGTTAAAAAATTTTAAAGGGAACAAAGTTGTGATGGTGAGTGAAAAATTACAATTTAATATTATACGAGATTGAGACTACTTCTTTATGCAAACTATTTACTAAACTGTTTTACCACTCTTTTTTTAAAATAAGGAGCCAAGATAAAATATGAAAGTTTTGTTGCCCACGTTTAAATAACCCTGTTGATAAATTTACTTATATAAAGTTAAAGACTGGGAGCTCTGTTTAAAAGGAATGTTAAAAAGAAGAAAGCGAAGAAAAAGATTGTAATTAACGGGCTTAAAAGAATTTATTAGTGCATTTAGGTTGAACCTTTATACATTGGCACGTAATGGCGTTGATAACAAGGCGCCAAACCAAAGATTTTAGTACGTTATTAAGAGCAAAAAAGCATTTAGAAATACTAAACAACACAACTAATTTGTAAACAATATAATACATCACAAAATTGAACCTATTCCTATCATTAACATTAAAAAAAATACGCAATGACAAAGTTAATAATTTACAAGAGGCCCTTGAAGCATATGTAGTGCTGAAGGATGGACCATACAAATAACAAAAAAGGTTTAACGTATAAAATTTAGCACACCTATTATGAAAATTGGCTAAATTATTTCTTGGTTACTGAAGTTAAGCTGAACTAATAGGATCGACTTTAAATATCATACCTTCTTTTTAATCTGTACACATTAAAATATATTAATTTTTATAGTATATACCCAGATTAATTGACTGACCGTAAATTTAGTAGAAACTAACATACAACATCATCGCGTTTTTCCAAAAGGAAGCACCTTTTAGTAAAAGAACTACAATATTATGGGGCAGCACCGCCGATTAACAACCGGCGTCTCACATTCCACCGCTTCCTTTTTTCACAATGTACTTATGGGGCATCCCAATTCTTGTAAATCTTACACTCGCGTAAACTTGCAGCCAATGAAACTGTAAGCTTTTGTTTAGGAGCTCTGCTTGGAACAAGCGACATATCGTTCATAGCTCCACTTCGCAGGCTCGATATAGTTTTTGGCTCTAGCTGCTAAGACCAGCCAGCAGTGAATGTTGGATGGAAAAACTTTTAAGACTTCTCTTTGAAAATAACCTGCTTGCTTATGAAGGCGTCAATATGCATAAAAAGCGCACGTAGGCCCAAAAACGTTTTTAGGGCTCTTCCAGCGGCCCCGCTACTCTTTTTAAGCGTACACTTTATTCAACCTCATAATTTAAATATATATAAAAATTTAAAAAAAGGCTGAAAGAAAGTTTACCAAAATACTTATTTAGTATCTAGGTTAAGACTTTCACCCTTGCTGTACTGAGCATCTACCCAAATTATAAACGGACATAAAATACAATTTGGTCCAGGCCGGGATTTTTTTAGGTAGTGGCGCCGCTTGATCACAAATATGTGTGAAATTAATATGGGATAGTGCTTTCGAGCTTCTTATGTTTACATCCTTATTGTTAGAAAAATACAGCATTATTCCTCTTCTTGATTTTGAATTTTACCTTTTCCCAAATCTTTTGGTAAATATATCGTTAGTATTGCTCAGAGTTTAGCATAACTATTTTAAAAGTTTACCTCTTTATTTCCGCCTTGACAAACATGCTCATCTAGAATAGTTAGACTCTTAAGGGGGTGCAAATGTTTAACATGTAAATGATGGACATAGGTCCCTCTTAAAACCGCTTACAATTATATAGCGCGGAATCTGTGTTCACAGAATTCACTAAAGGCGAAGCAATGTTCTCTTTAGATTCTCATCACTAATTCGGCCACATCACCCATGTTAGGCCTGCAAAAATGTTAATACGCCTTGCTGTAGTTTGTTTTCCGCAAGACGCCTACTTAAATGATTTTACTAATTTATAATAACGTTGTTTTAATAAAGCGATTTTTAAAGTTTATAAAAGAGGGAGGAATTATAAACAGGTGAATCTACCGCGCCTAAACCAGTTGCTTTTTCTTTATTTCTAACGAAGAGCACAACTAAAGACTTGAGCTTTTGTAAAGAAGAGAAATCATGCTTCCTAGTTAAACTTGTGTATTACCTTTACACAATGCACTAAACCCTTTAAAAAAGTTGGTCTCCAAAAGATGTCATATGGTGCGCACAATAATTTATTTAGAGAATGAGTCCAATTTAAACGAAATTAAGCACGAAAGGTGCCAAGGGGCATTGCTAAATTTACTGGAGACACGGATAATGCGTCACTGCTAACTGCATTTTCTTCAGCCTCTCATTAGTGATGCCGTTCGGGGCCAGACGCCTTTCGTTGGGTAGCACTTCAACAATCTTGAATTTCGTCAGCGTTACTTAGCAAATAGTGAACATAATGGTTGTGTTAAAATTATATGATGGAGCTTTTTTTCTTCTATAATCTCTTTGGTTAGAAGGAATATTTCTGGTGAAATAATCTTATAAGTTCTTAAAAACAATTTAATCATTTAAATTCGTTGTTTTTTCGTGTACGTTCATGGAAGATTCTGAGATGAGGATGTTTTTGGCACATGCACTCTAATTAAATAGTACAAATAACTTTGTGCTAAAACAGCAGCAATTTTAGTGTGCTTTAGCTTGCTTGAGGGTAGTGCTTAATTGACTTAGTCCTTATTTGTAATATGTCTGACGCGCTACTAAATTACCGTTAATAAATAGATTCACTAACTTTCGCTACCTTTCATTGGCGGTTCTATAGTTTTGTATCGCGTTAGGCGGTAGAGTTTTCAAAACTTAAAAATTACTTTTCAAGGGAAACTTAAATTTTAAAATTTTAGGTACTTTGTTCTTTCGACATGGAGTACTGTTCTTACTTACAATTATTCATGTACTCTTTACTTCTTTAAGAAAATCCCTTTTATCCATATTTATCACTTAATTAATAGATAGGTTGACATGAAAACAAAGGTTCAGTCTTAAAAACCTTGAGTGCAACTCTGGTTCGAGCTCGATAATGCTACGCTACCAGCAGTCCTTTTTCGGAGATATTCAGCTCCCGCTTGTGCCCAACTCAAACTGGTTTGCGCTTAACCTACCGGGTTCTACCAAAAATTTTTTTCAAAAAATATCGCTTTGACTACAAGTGGTTTTAGTCATCAGTTGAAAGCTCTGGCCAACTATGTAAAAAATGTATAAGTGATTCACCCTCCTGGATGTAGCTCAGTGGTTAGAGGATTGACGTTAAAATTATTACTATAGGTTTAATGTCCGACAATGTAGCTCACTTTTTAGTTTGGTGGTTACGTTCTACCTCTTCCCGAAAACAAGTTTTGATACAGCTTCCCTAATCTCAAAAACTTGGCACACGACAATGCCTTTTTTGTAAAGGGCACTCAAAGGAGGTCAGAGAGTGAATACTTGATAATCTAAATGATTTAGATCTTAAAGTGGATTTAATATTTATATTTGTCTTTACTCAGATAAAAATTAGTAAGGACCTTGATTACAATAACAACAGTTGTTTTTCAATCTAAATAATTTCATTTTATTAATTGTTAGTATTTTTAAAGCTTTTTGGGAACTACACGATATACGTAAGCGCCCCCAAAGCTTTTGTAAGAATTTTTGCCAATTCAAGATTTTTTATAAATTTGCAATTGCTTTTTTCTAGAAAAAAGTTTTCTTATAATGATGTCAACAAATTTCGTTGGTCAGTAAGATTTTCCGTTGTTCATACACGTTCAAACTATAATAATTATACTCTTTTTAATTATTTCGCATAAAAAGTATTTACTATTAATCTAGTATTATTGATATTTTACATATAAAAGCGCAACGTTAAAATATAGTAGGAGACGGTATTTAGTTTTTCATGATATTTGGTTGTTGATCTGGCCAGCTTGCCCTGAATACAATAATTTGTTTTAGATAGTAAATATTAAGGGTAGTTGCTTTGAAATCTAACTTTAGAGATAAAGTTAGATATAACTGTTATATTTTACAAATTACTCTTCCACTTTCCTCATCCTTTATTACATGCTACAGCTCGGGGAGCATTTATAGTCTTAGAAGGATGTGATAGATGCGGAAAAACAACTCAAAGTAAATTACTTCTTCAAAAATTACAAAGTAAAAAAATAAAAGCTGAATTAATAAATTTTCCAGGTTTTTTTTAAAAAAATTATTTAATTATTGAAAAAATTTTACCTACCACTTTCGTTACATTGTATTTTCCTTTTTACTTTAATGCTATTCCCTTTTCTTGAATTTTTTTAATAATTCCTGATATACATATTGAATAATAAAGATAGAACAACACTGATTGGACAGTTGATCGATAAATACTTGACTTCTGAAAAAGAATGTGACGATCGCGCTATTCATCTTTTGTTTTCTGCTAATAGATGGGAGAAAAAGTTTGCCGCTGGCAGTAACTAAATAATGTACTCGCCTTTATTACTAAATATTTGTAATTAGCCGAGTCATCCAAGCTAAACTGTTATCGGGAGTAACTTTAATTGTTGACCGCTACGCTTTTTCCGGGGTTGCTTATACTTCAGCCAAGGTTGTGATATGACCATGAATCGTGTTTTCCACTAAACAAATATTTTTGTTGAAAATATATCGCGATTGCGTAGTCAGAAGATTATTAACTTTGGAAGCAAATTTTTTGATAACGTTTGTATATATTATGATATACCTTTTATCAATTTTCGCAAGGCAATATATTTCTAAAAAAAAGATTGTTGCAAACCTCTTAATTGATTGTGCTTAAATTTATTTATCAATAATATTTATTACTTCTTTATGAGCCTGCTGAAGTTAAGGACTTCAATATGATTACTTAATAAAGGGGTACGACTTTGAATGGTGCAAAAGCCCAGATGTCGGCCTCCCAAAACCTGATCTTGTGCTCTTTCTAGAAATGAGCGCAGAGTCGGCCAGTAGAAGGCATTCTTATTAGCCAACTTATATGAGATTTATTAATTCTATTATGCTTCCCTTCCTACTTTTACATTATTTTTACTAGTAAAATGTTTACTCATTATATATATATATTGTTTTCATTAATTACCCACTTTACTAACTAAACATTTATATATTGTTATACACTCCAACTTTCTCTAAATTATTTAATTATTTGTTATCGTACCAAAAAGTTTATTTTTACTGTTTCATTATTACGGCAAGAAACGAGTACGGAGAAGAACGATACGAGCATTTATATTTTCAGAAGGCTGTTAGAGAAGTGTATAGAAAGTTCGAAGGGCCCTCGTGGGTGGTATGCATACCTAAAGACTTTTGAGCTTTAATATTATTCTTTGTAAAGTTTGTTTATTTGCTCTTAATAAGTAACATTACGGCCAAATAAATTTAAGAATTTATTTATAAAATTTTCTGGCTTATACCACATGTACATTTTGAAAAGCCATCCGCCTTTCGTTTAAACAACTCACCTCTATTATGAATAGAATGTGAAAGCTAATGAAAAGGTAGAAGAAATTTCTAACGAAATAACAAATATCGTCCTCGAAACCTTAAAAAGAGCAAGAAATACTCCTTTGGAGTCGCTCTGGACGGTCCCTTAATCAGACCAACTTTTCATATTACAAATCTTTAAGTTAACTGATATTAAAAACACACTGTTTAAGTACAAGTCCTTAAGTTGAACATTAATTTTTATTGCCAAATAAAAATAACCTAAAAATAAAAACGCTTATTTAAGTTTGTGTAATATATATATACCGCCTTCTTTAAATTAATTAATATCTTTTCGGTGTTTTATCATTATAAATATAAAACTTACATTTTTATAAAAATAAAAAAAAAACATGGTAATAGTAAGCAGTTGCTATTTTCCAAGCAACTAATAATTTTATAAGTATAGCAATATAAACTTTTTAGTAGTTATTTTCTAGTAAACTAACCTCGTATATGTATATACAATGTATTAATCGAATTGTTAATATATAAAACTGTGAGGCTGTAGCAAACGAGTTTGCTAGGCTAATAAGGTAGGTCTCTGGCCACGTGAAATGGGCTATTACTATAAAGGGTCGACTTTGCATCGACTATACGTATATTTCCTGTTCTTTCACTATTTTTATCTTAAATTTCGAAGTTAAAATTATAATTAATAAACTATATATAATAAACTTGCCTTAAGAACGCTTTCTTAAATACTGGTCCGCTAAAACTAATAAAATTTCAGATAATATTCAATTATTTAATGAGGAGACGATGTTACACAACAATTATTCTTCAAAACAAGAAATGCCCCTTAAAATCCTTAAAAGCCCAACTTCTTTAATAACTTGCGCTTCCCGTTCATCCTTGGCCAGGAGAAATCCAGCAAATCCCAGTGCATTAACAGATATGTCGACTTCGTATGAAGACTTGCCATAAGAAAAACTATGTCTCGATCTTTCAGATTTAATTAGCGTTAGTGTACGATGTTTTTAAAGGATAGAACTTAAAGCTAACTTAAAAATTAAAAAAGTATGGTTTATACAATTTTTTTTTACTTAAAAAAAGAAAGAAATATAACTTACATATTGGTATTTTACTAATTAACAGGTTAAAAACGTAAAACCATTATACCGGGATCGATAGTTGTCGCGTAGCTCAGCGATTAAGAGCACTGACGCGCTTAATTAAGGTCTAAGGTCGTGGGTTCGATTCCCACCGATTCGATCCTTTTTTCGGACTTTGGTGGTCGCGTATCTAACCTCGCCCTCGTAAATTCTAATGCTAATTGCACGTCATAATATTATAACTGCGCTGGCCCGCCCACCCTAACCTTTACGAGGTGTTTGTTTATAAGTCTTATACTGCCAATCGCTGTGGCCCTCAGAGATTTAGAAGTGCGGAACATATAGTTTTATTAAAATTAACTAAATTAAAGAAAATTATTGCCTTTCAAAAGTAATCTTCCTTTATTTTACTACTGTGGTATCAAAGAGGTAAGAGACATGAAGTTATAATAAGTGACAATGATGACTACTAAAAGATCTGTTGAAAGAACCCCCATTCACTTAACCCCCTGCGTTCCCGCTAAAACCGAGCAACAAAACAATAACATTTCGTAGGCAAGTATATTATAAAATATGAAAGCTAGATAATATACTATTGTTCTATAATCTGATATAATATCTCAACGTGGCGTCAGCAGTATAATAAAACTATATACGTACCTTTTAACTAGTAAAATTAACTTTTCGGTTAATATTATATTAAAAGACTGAAATCCTTCTAAGTATCCAAGCTTGTTGCTGTAAATATGGCCATTTGTAGTAGGGACCGCTATATCCTTTTTAATTATTAATTAGTTGTTGATCATATAAAGGTATAATATAATTACCAAACTTTTTAAAAGTTTATAAATAAGATGTAAAAGATACTCTGAAAATTTTTCTGTCTCTAAGTTATATTTATCGGCTTAGATAGATATACAAACCGATAATTTACTATACCCATACCTTTAAAACATATATAGCCGTGTTTAAACTTTAATTTAGGATGTTTATTTATTGTATCGCCATCTTTAACTCCTTGGGAATATAATTCGTTTATAAGTTCGCTTTTTCCTATAGCAAAAGCAATTCCGTTTCATTCACAGATGAAGGTCTATTACATACCTGGAATTACTTGGAAATGTTTATGAGGTTGACTCGCACCTGATTCAGGTCCACAGTTAAAAAAACCTATACCTAATAAAAGTAACTTTCTGTAAATCTAGTATTAAGCTGCGTATGTAAAAAAATTGAGATTGTAAATATTTACAATAAGATATTATTATGACCTTTTAACATCTTAATACCCATTTTCCAAGCTTCTATGTCATCCTGGGTTAAGGAATCGCTTTGATGGCGATAATTTTTAGTAACCTTAAAGATAGTCGCAAAAGTAAGTAAAGTTGTAGATTTTAATTAAATACTAATGATAAAGTACCACTAAAATATGATTTTTCACGACGCTATATTTGTTTAATAAGCAAACGTGAGAATTGCCAAGGTCGCAAATATACAACTCCGAGTCATAACTTATATATTGTTTAGTAAAAACAGCGGTTTAAAAATGTAAAGTTCGTACGGTAGAAAAGGATTTTTTTGAAAAGCTAAAGAATTGTCGGCTGAAACTTTTTTAGTTAAGATCTCCGCAACTCTTAGTTCAAACTATTTTAAAGCAATTATTATTAAAATTGACCAGCCCAACGAAGGACAAAAGCTCGACATTTATTTCTAAAACTGAATCCCAAAGGAAAAAAATTTGATTTCTTAAAGGAAAAAGCGCGCCCAGTTTCAAGGCTCGACGCCTCGCAGACTTTAGAAGCTCCATTAGCTTGCAACAACCCTAAAGACACAAAGCCAGTATAGTAGATAGATACGAATTAATTGTGCTTTTACAAATGGACCGCTGTTGTACAAGTTTGATCTATTTCACGCATTTTGATCTAATTTCCTTCTATATAGCCAGAGAGAAAGTGGTTTTAATGATATTATCAGTTGTCGATAAAACTTTAATAATAAAAATTATTAGTAAATCTTACTTGCTTTTAAACTTAGATAATTACATAATATTAATGTTACAAGTACATGACTCCTTATAGCTGGGTTTTTTTAAAAATTAATTATCAAGGAATTAAAGAATAAATTGTATTTGGCTGTCGCATGTGCATGTCGGTTGACTGAATAGAGGTTGTTGCAAACCACTCACTGTTAAGTGTAACAAATGATTCATGCCCCTTTAAGAAAGGCGTTTCATTTTTATACTTTTTTGGTGTGGTGAGAAATAAAGCACTAAAGAGGTTTTACATATTAATCCAAAGAAAAGTTAAAACATTTTAATAAAATGTGTTCACATAAAACAGTCAAACAAGTATAATTTACAGGTCAATCTGGATATTGTATATAATATATATATCTTGTTCTGACTAATTTGTTTCCCTTTCTTGCGGTTTTTTAGTTTTCCTACTAACTTATTCCTTTTGTCTTTGTTTTTGAGGTACAAATGTGTGTATACATTAGTTTTTAATTTCATCTGGTTTTTATACATCAAATTTATTTTCTATAACGTGTGGAGTAATCCTTAGCCCCAATTAAAAAAGTTTAAAACATAACAAATATTATTATTTACAATAACCCATAAAATGGGTATTAAAAATAAGTTATAAAGAAAATAACAAAGAATATTTAAAAAGAGCACGCTAAATTTTAGTGACGGATCCCTAAGTTAACCCGTGTGTACATATAACTACAAGGCAAGGTCCCAAGGCTTCAATCTTTTAATGTTAGCGCAAGCTAGTTTAATAAAACTTTCTAATAAAACTTTCTCTTAGTTTCTCATTCAGTGTTACGTTAGAGGTGTTATAGTGAAAGTGTATAAGAGTTAGAAATAACAAATGGGGAACCGCATCCGAATGTCCTCCTCAAATCACATGCTTCCCCAGGTTTTAATGTATAATAAATACGTATATTTATAAATAATTACAATTTCTATGAGGTTTCAAAAGTGGTAAACGTTCTATAAGACCTTTTACGATTGTTTGTAGAGATTTTATAATAAATGCATTCAACCATTTAATATATTATAGCGTAATATCACTCCTCAACTTTTAAAGCTGTTGTGTCGTAATTGACTGAAGCAAAGATTGGAGTTTAAATCTACATATTTTTATACAGAATTAAATAATTTTGTTTTTAAAGTATAAGACAATAGCACAGTGTACAAAAAAAAAACACCCAGGACAAGTTTAAAACACAAAATACTGAAAACACCCAAAAAGAGAAACATTAAAAAGAAACATGTAACTTGAACGCAAAACATGGAACACAATATTAAGTAGTACACTATCGTTCAAAATTGTTTCTATTTTTTAAATTTTTTCGTAAAAATTCTATTACGCCTTAATTAATAATTGGTTATATTGATCAAGTTTAGATTGAGATTATTTAATGTAGTCTTTATTAGAGGAAATGCTATAAGGCATTCGCATTTTAAAGTTTAAGTATTGATTGAAACGATTTGGCACGTGACCCCTCACGCAAAATTGTTTTAATACGAAATTTCATCATTCCACCAAAGGGGGTTCTTTAACGCGTTTGGGCGACTATAACGGATAGTTTATTTAGAGACCTTAATTTAATAATGCGTAAACTTTCAATCGATAAAGAAAATGATGTAAAACGTCTTTTAGATCAAGGCAGGCCTTATATACTGAGATAGCTCGTGAATGTAATGTCAATAAGGCCACAATATCCCGAGTCAAAGCTCAATATGATCCAACCCGTCCTTGCAATGAGCCTGGGCTTCCAAAGATATTGAAAAACAGGGAGGTAGCTCGACTTGTACGAGAAGTAACATTGGTGCAATTGAATCTGCACAGAAAGCTTCAAAAATTATAGAAACAATATTAGATAGACCAGTTTTCTAGATCGATCGTATCGAGAGCATTCCCTTTTGCTGGTTTTTTATGCGAAAAAAATGTTAATTAAACCCACTTTGGTAGACCATCACAACGATTAAGATTTGAGCTTGCGAAGAAGCCCAAACCCGGTTCCATTTTTGACTGGGAAAAAGTAATTTTTCGGACGAGACCAAGATCAATCGATATGGCTTAGAGGGTACTAGGTGGTGTTCGAAGCGATCCGGCGATAATCGAATATTTTATCATTAGGTGGTGCAAGCGTATAAACATGGGGGAGGATCGGATATTTGGAAAAAGTGACAGGGAGCATCACCGCAAGTACGCTTTTAGACATTATTAAGGATGACATACCCAGAACATGCGATTGGTATGGCCTTGGCCTTGGTAAAATGGTTTTTCAGCATGACTTCAATAATAATCTTTCCAAGTGCTAGCCTGGCCTCCGCAATCTCCTGGTCTCAATCCCATTGAGCATGCATGGGGAATCAATACGATTCAGCTCCTGCTAAGTTGGACGAGTTTTTGACACGTGTACAATCAAAATGGAAAAATATAACACCGGATCAACGCTATAATCTGTTTGCAATTATGCCAAAGAGGATACAAGC